ATGAAAATTGCATTTGAGGTGACAATCAACAGGAACAATCAACAGGACCTGAAGATATTCGCATAGTGTGAGGCATAAATTTGGAAATACTATACCAGATATACGCGACGTGCTCACGAGTTGGAAAACCATATTTTCAGTACACCGGAACAGAAACCAAAAAATATTGTTTATCAAGCTGCGTTACATTGAGAAAAAAAATTAAATGATAAATTTAACTTTCTTTTCATTTCAAACACACATAATTTCACGCAGGACAACGKCTGCGAGGTCAGCTGGTATATTTATAAAAATCTATGTCTATATATACATAAAATATATAAATCWCAAATTCACTTACTTTCGCTTAAAACTAACTATTTCGGCTGTTTTCGCATATGTTATGTGCACCTTATATACAAATGTTCCCACAAGAATATTGGGATCACACTKTTAGCTTATGATTGATATAGAAAAAAACGGACCAAAGCAATTAGTTCGTACAGCTTGTTTTGTGATATACTATATCTGTATCTATGATATACTATATYTGGTACCTCTTTCCAACTCTGAAAGYATWSGACTCAGTCCCCGCCGGAGGAAGCAGAGGAAGAGGAAGATGSTCATTCCGTTGRAAAGAACAGGTGGAGAAGGATCTTGTTTTCGCTTGGTATCTCCAATTGATGCCACCTTGCAAAAAAAATAAACGACTGGCGTGCTCTTGCTAACTCGACTATAACCTCGTACACCAGTGAAGAAGAATATATCTATAATAAATATAATATCTTGAACAACAAAGCCACCGTAGAACAGTCTGTTGATATGCTAAGAGTGATAGTTCAAAGTTCTATATTAAYCAAGTTGGATTTAAATTTATTTATATTTTAACTGCATCTAATTTTTCTGACGTAATCACATAACAGTTTAAGTTAATGTTTTCCCCAATTTTCATACCATTTTAACTTAGAGTCAACATTCTATTTGCCAGCGATCCTTRCCGTMGACAAGCCATAYGCACTCACTCTCAGCACACATATTTGCTTTGCTCCTCAATTGTGGGCAACACTTAATGTTGCACAATTTTACTGCCGAAGCTGCTGTTCGTTTTGTGGTAAAGCGCCTTAGGATATGCAATGATTCGCTTGCATTCGTCTATGTATACACAAACGATATGTGAAAGATTTTATTATATCAATGTAA